GATATTTTATATTTTTTATATTTTATATATATATATATATATATATATATATATATATATATATATATATATATATATATATATATATATATATATATATATATATATATGTATATATACTGGCTTTGAATGACTAATGAACTTTAACTCAGATAAGACTTAATAGTTTTTAGCTAATCGTTATCACAATAATCGAGATCTTCCTATTTTTATGAACGGTAATATACTTGATGAATCATCTACACTTTGGCTCCTAGAATTAACTCTTACCTCTGATCATTCTCAAAAACCATATATCAAATCCATTTCAAAATAAAATAGCATGCACCTCCTTATCAGGCTTGCCACATTCTTACTATTGATTCTGTCATACTTTTATGGAATAGTTGCCATATCTGGGGTGGATCTTCCAATGATGCTCTTTCTCTTTTTGATAAGGTGCATAATTGTAAACATAGTTGGACCTGTTCTTGCAGCCAACCTCCAAACATTGTCACATCTTAATGTTGCTTCTCTTTCTCTTTTCTACAAATACTATGATGGACGCTAGTGTCTCTTGTGCCATCTACTAAAATTCATTCTCATGAACTTATGCATCAATGAAGTCTCATCCCTTTACTGTGACTGTTCTTAAGTTTATTAAGTTACCCCAAACTTACTAAAGAGAAAGAGGTTGATCGCAAAATGAACTTTATTGATTCAAAATTTTACAAAAAAAAATACACAGTTTTACAAACTAATTTTAAAAGCTTCACTAATATTAATTATGAACTTGGATTCATTAAAACTCTGATCAATAGGGCCTTCAAAAAACAGCAAGTTTTCATCTAGAAATTGTAAAAATTAAATAAACTCTCCAAAAAACTCTTTTGCCTTCAACTTAATTGACAAAACCTTCAAAAATTGACTAAACAATTCTATTTCTCCTAAAGAAAACATGTCATCTCCAAAACCATCTGATATACATTACTTTAAATTTCCTTATATTGGAAAATTTTCAAATACATTTCAACATCAATTATTTAAATACATTTAAAATATCGCAAAGATAATATAAAAGCAAGACTAGTTTTTACAACTTTTAAAATAAGTAGTATGATTTCATCAAAAACCCCTAACCCCCAAATTTAAAATCCTTTGTTGTCTATAAATTTGTTTGCTCCAGCTGTAATGCTGGATATATTGGTGAAAACACCAGACACTACACAACAACGGTTTCAGAACATTTAAATTCAGATAAGGCATCCTATATTTACAAACATCTTACTTCAACACAAAAATGCAAAAACTCAACTGACTCTTTTTCTATTGTCAGAGTTTCTTCATGGTAATTACTTATCTTACAAAATGTAATTATGGTAACAATTGTAAAAATATTAAATTTTTGATGCAGCCAAATAAAATGTTTATATATAGAAATTGTAATTTTTTTTTTTTACCTGATGATATCAATTAATGTTGATAAAATTTTTTTTTTTTAAATTGTTATTCATTTGAAAATTATATAAATATATGAATATATATATATATATATATATATATATATATATATATATATATATATATATATATATATATATATATATATATATATATATATATATATATATAATAATTATATATATATAATAATTATATATATATATATATATATATATATATATATATATATATATATATATATATATATATATATATATATATATATATATATATAATATATATATATATATATATATATAATTCTTTCATATACATAATTCTTATATATATAATAACTATTGTTATTATATTATTAAGAATTATGTATATGAAAGAAACACTAACCTTTAAGAACTATTACATCCATGAATTAATAAAATAACCCACTGTAAAATAAATAAAGTTAACAAAATAAAGACCACGTAATGAAGCAATTTTAAGTAACAAACAATAATATATCTGTCGAACAAGACACGTGTGTTGTTGTTATTAATATTGCTACGTAAATTTTTTTAAATGTTGTTCGGCAAAATACGCAAGTAAAAATAAATCGTTCCGAATAGGATATGATCTAAACACAACCTTTTACAAGCAAGAGGAATTGAACTTTTTTTCAATGTCTTTTAATTAAAGTTCATAGATTTATGACACAGGAAATTCATTTTTTTGTTTAAAAGTCAAAAAGTCATAACCCTAATCATCACCATAAATGAATCTGAAAACAATGAAACTTATTTTTTCATAAAGAAAAATATGTTTGAAATCCGTTTCATTTTTGTTTGAAAAACAATGCATGAAAACATTTAGTTTTGATTTTTATTTAAAGATGCCATTTTTTTGTAATATGAGTATGCTCAAACTACCCATTGTTTTTCATTGAAATTACCTAGTCGCAATTAAAACTGCAATGGCATAACTACATTATTTCAAGATATGAACATGGAATAAACAAAAATATCTGATTGGTTTAAAATGAATAAACTTTCACTAAATGTTGAACAAACAAAATGGATACTTTTTCATCCAGCGTCTAAAAAAAACTACTTCCTTGTAAACTACCTTTACTTTTGTCAACAGAAGCACGTTGCTCGTCTTATTAATTTTAAAAACAGATTTACTCATGTCAAGCCTCTTTTATTTGAAATGAAAATTCTTAATATACATCAGCTGAATGTTTTTAATATTCTTTGTTTTATGTATAAATGTAAAACTAACTCTTCCCCAGTTTCTTTCCATAATTTATAAATGCTGAAATATAAAAATAAATACAATTTAAGAAATTATAATTTAATTCGTCAACCATTTTTTCAGACTAATTTTGGAAAATCTAGTATTTCTTTTCGAGGAGCTTTTCTTCGGAACAAAATAGTTTTAAAACATTTTAATTTTTCTCTGCAATGGAGTTATTTTTCATTCAGAAATAAGCTTAAAGAAATCATTTTTATCGCATGATGATATATTGTCATATTTTTAAACGTTATTAATTTGATGTATTATTTTAGTTTATGTTTATAAGAACATGCACTTAAATGTAATTAACTATATATGCACTTGATTTTATATATATATATTGAATTTTATGAAGTTTTAATTTACGAGCGGTTCTAGATGACAAGACCTAACGGTCTTCTGCGAGTCTCCGCGTTCTTTGTATATTAACAAAAAAGTCTTAGTTTTATCTTTAATTAATTTCTCATTGAGTAACGCTTTTAACAATCTTATTGTAATTTTTTCTTAACGATCTAATTGTAAATTTTTCCTAACGATCTAATTGTAAATTAAATAATTTTTCTTTGAATACATTGTAATAAGAACTAAAAAAAAAAAAAAAAAAAAAAAAAAAAAAAAAAAAAAAAATTTAATTGATTTTTAAATAAAAGCAAAACATAGTAAAAAAATTTAATATTTTAAGAATACAAAATATCTTTCTGTATTCAAATTCAAAAAGTTTGAATTTTTATCGTTCAAGGTTTGAGTTGATAAAATTGAAAAAATAACGAACTGATTTCTTTTTTGTGAGTGCACAAAACAATGTAGTATTGTTATAATAAAAAGTTACTCTTTTAATGAGTTTTGTTAATCTATTTAATAATCTATTTAATAATACTGAGTAGTGCTTTTGAGCCTGTTAGTCATTGCAAGCAAGTTAATGGCGAGAAAGAGTTGCAGCAGCTTTGTTTTATAAGAAAACGTGAACGAACGTGTTTCCAAATATCTATTGTACGTAAACTTTAAATTAAGTAATGTTAAAACATATATTTGTTTATGTCTAGTTTTTTGCCACAAAGTGACGTCACATATGCAAAAAAATTTGAAGCTACAATTTTTTTCCATATGTGACGTCACTTTGTGGCTAAAAACTAGAAAAACAAACTAGAACAAAGATTTTATTTAAATTTTTTTAAAAAACTTCTTCTATTAAAGATATATGAAATATAATTTAATATAGGGTACATTCTAATAAAGACAAAAACTATTTATTTATTACTATTGTAATAAATATTGTAATAATAAATCTCTTATCCGTGAAATGATACATCTCTACCAGTTTTATATATTTTTATGCATTTGTGTACAACAAAATTAAAATTAATCAAAAAAATGTAAGATAAATGCAAAAGAAACTCGACACATAAAGGTTTACTTTGCCACAAACCAACGTCGATGCGCAAAATTTTTTTCGCTAAACTTTTATATTAGCGTTTAATATTATTCTTTAGTTTGTAATCATAATCAAAAGAATGAACTTATTTTTTTATGACTATGTTTTAGTGGTCTAAGATCTTCTTAGTTCCATTTGTATACCGTTACGTACAAACGTCTGCAAGTGTAAGCGTCTTTAGGATATGATGAGTTTGCAGGCATTATCTGGAATAATCGCGTATAATATATCTATAAAATGAGAAAACGTTAAAATTTTAATTTAGATTTTAAAAATCTTTTTGCTATATTATTACTTTTTTGCTATAAATATATATATATATATATATATATATATATATATATATATATATATATATATATATATATATATATATATATATATATATATATATATATATATATATATATATATATATATGTATATATATATATATATATATATATATATATATATATATATATATATATATATATATATATATATATATATATATATATATATATATATATATATATATATATATATTTGTATATATGCAAGATTTAATAAATTTTAAAAGTTATTACGCAAAGAGGAGGTCTTAAACCCCCCAAAACAACACTAACGACAGCGCACTTAACCACTGAGCTATCAATGAAATGCATTTCGCAGAAAAACAAACCTAATTATAAGTCTCTTATAAACTCTACGTACGCGGAAAAGGTGCGGATGTTAATTTTTTAGCTTTTAAAGTTTTTTTTCAGAACAAAATTATTTGACTAAAAAGTATTGAAGTAAATAAGGAATAGGTATAGAAATAATCGGTGTGAAATAGGTATGTATAAAAATACTAGGTTTGGTAAAGACAATTTTACGGATCCGGAAAGCTAGGATATGTAAGGAAAAATTATAAAAAAGTTCGGTTTGGAATAGACTTACAAAGACCCGTATTTTTACGGGTCGGATCTCTGCTAGTAACGAATAAAACAAATAAAATTTTTGCTAATAACAAATAAATATATTCCAAAAATTAGTTCTAATTGTGAAATTGTCATTTTTTTACTTAATGTTAATTTTTTTGAGCTAATTTAAAGTGCTCATATTATTAAGTGGTCTGGGTACTTTTGCTACTTTTTTAAAACCTCAGTTTTTTTAAGAAAAAATTTCCGGTACCCAAATATCTAAGTGGATCACGAGTAGTGATCCTTAAAAATAATTTGTTTGCAAAAATTTAGATCTAACATAATTATTTTTGAAAATATTCCAATTTTTGGTTAAGGTGCTTATACCACATTAATCTACTCAACTTAATCCCCGAATCCTTAAGCTTATTTCCGCTCTTTATTTCCGCACTTTACTAGTTAAAGAATTTTGCATTTCCGCGTTCCTTGATTTGTTTTTTTTTTGCAGTATTTTTTCCAAAATAAAAAACGAAAGCTAACATATGGTATGCTTTTATGGTACGTGGATTGTATAAAATTATTTGAGAGATGAAAATTTATATTGCGATTTGCATGATCTACGGTATATAAGTTTGCATACAGTATTTTTTTCTTAGGTGCCTCAAGAAGTCCATAACGGTCTTATCACAAAGCATTGCGGAAGAGCATTTAATAGGAAGTTCACTTCTCCTTCCTAACCGATCAATGTTAAGGTTTAATTATGGTATTGTTGTTTGCCAGCTGTAATTAGCGTAGTTTTTGGCTTTTGAATGAACATCTTCATATGAAATAAGTATGAACAAACAAAGGTTTTAAATTTACCTTTATTTGTTACCTTAAGTCACTAACTTGTATTGTTTCTCTATAAAACAGCTAACGCAGCGCTATCTAGAATCATGAATGAGCGCAAATAGAAGTTATAATGATTGTTACACAATCAATTTTTCTTCGGATAATTGTTTGCAATATTTTTATTTTGGATAATTATTAAGAGTTGCAACCCAAGCATTTCTTTTTGGACAATCAGTTGTAAAAATATCTTTAGACAACCAATAATGATTGAAAAACAATTCCTTTGGAGATTAGCACAGTATAAAGATTTCTCACATGAATGGATTTCTCATATGAATCTACAAAAGTAAAATAACTCACGTTGATCTAAGCTTTTACATAAACTACTCTGGGAAGCCTCTTTACAAACTACTCTGGGAAGCCTCTTTACAAACTACTCTGGGAAACCTCTTTACAAACTACTCTGGGAAGCCTCTTTACAAACTACTCTGGGAAACCTCTTTACAAACTACTCTGGGAAGCCTCTTTACAAACTACTCTGGGAAGCCTCTTTCCAAACTACTCTGGAAAGCCTTTTTACAAACTACTCTGGGAAGCCTCTTTACAAACTACTCTGGGAAAGATATACCAAAAAGAAAATCTGGAGATGATCGCAAGTTAAAACTTAACATTTTTGATGTATTTATTATTTGCATTTAGTTTGCATGAAGATGTACAATTATTTGTATGTAGATGTATTTATTGTTTGTGTATGGTTTGCATGCTCTCCTAACGGCCGAGTCTTTTGATAAAATATGTGAAAATTAAAGCAATGACATTTGTAGGCATACTATCAGGACCGTGCAGAGAGTGAGTCACCCAAGCAAATTGCTTGATGTCCCGGCTCTAAGGGGTCCCTATCAGTTGTTGACCAAATAAAATTTGCTCGCAGAAATGCAATCTACTTATGGATTTTTTTCCTCTTTTTTTTTTTTTTGCCCATACTTTTGCCGTTACGCCTCAAAGCAAACCAGGTGCACACACATAAAGTACAAAATGTTCAATGTTGCCAACAATAGATTAATCAAGTTTTGTCATAGTCAATAAAAACAAACTTGGTCTGAAAAAGCTCTTATTTATAAGCTGATCTTAAATTATGCGGGGGGAAATGTCACGTGATCAAATCTAGTGCAAAACAAATATTAAAAATGGCGTATTTGGAAGAGTTTTTACAGACAAACAAGCCTAATTTTATAATTTAATTTAACTTATAAATTAATAATAATAAATTTAATTTATTAATTTAGTTTAATTATTATATTAATTAACTTAATTTATTTATTTATTATAAAAAAAGTAATCTGGAAAAAATAAAAATTTAACGCATATATCCATCAGGAGCATCAAATTAAAAATCAGAAAGGCAAAAGAAGCGGCTCTAAAAAAGTATTGTCAAACATTATTTGATGTTGGAATTACAGCTACTCCCCAGACATCAGATGCTCTTTTCACTAGTACACTTTCGAGGAAAGTGTGGAGGTTTCCTCCACACCGGTGTGTAGCTTTCACTCCTAGATACAAGTGTGGAATTATTAAGCACAATTTTGTGTGCAAATAACTCCACCCTTCTGTGCAGAAGTCAAGTTAGAAAAAAATAACTCCACAAAAGTGTGCAAAATAACTCCACACTTGTATCTAGGAGTGATAGTTACACACCTGTTTGGAGGAAAACTCTACACTTTCCGCGAGTGTGTATTCTATTACCAGTAACAGAATAATCTAATCTTCTGTTACTGGTAAGAGTGCTGACAGTGACATTGCAGATTTGAAAAGACAGCCGAATTGGTAATAATTGTAATACTTCTACAAAGATCACTAGCACTGTTAGATTAGCTTTGTTGCATTTGAAATTAGTGATTTTGAAACCGAAAATTTTTTTTCCACTCACATTATCTTTTCACTAGATATGCCAAAAAATAATGGAGATTATAGGTTTCCAATATGTGTTTTGTAAAGCAGAATGGAAAATGAGGAACTCTTTTTGAAAGATTGTCTTGTATTTAGCCCAGCAAAGACAGCAGCATTTTGTTTTCCATGTCAATTATTTCTATCTAAAAATTAAGTTCTACACTTGAATTTATCACTTGCAGTTGATTGGATGAGGATATGGAAAGAAGTGGTAGAATCTAATTAGTCGAATTCCTGAGCATAAACACTTAAAATTCCATAAATAATGCTACATTCAATGGCGTGAATTGAAACTTTGTATGCAAACTGATCAGTCAATAAAATATCTTGTAAATTGTCAAGTCCTCAATGAAGCAGTCATCTAGAGAAAAATCCTGTAACGAATCTTGGATGTGGTTCTGTTTCCTGGTTTACGTGGATTGGCTTTTTGTGGAAAATCTGATCTAATTGGAGACTCTCATAATGGAAATTTCTTAGGATTGCTGGAACTGATTTCGCAGATCTCAAGGAAGATGTGATACATAAAGAAGAACTTGAAATATTTTCAATTGAAAAACGGTATGATTTAGAATATGATTGGCAGATTGTGCCAAGAAGACTGGATCTGTTATTGTAATTTTAATTTTGAAAACTTTAAAAAATCAAAATTATTTTTTTTGAGGACTGCCTTAGTCAAGGCAATGAAAATGGAGCCAATATGTTGAGAAAACACAAGGGTGATCAAGCAGTCCGTGAAAAGAACCCATTGTCTATATTCTCACGCTATGGTCAACTCAAACCTGTTCGGGAGGAAAAGTAAAATTAGCTGCAGATACTGCAAAAATCAGTTTCCAATCCACAAAAAAGTGAAGCGCAAAGGTTTTGCTGATGAGTAAATTGAAGGTAATAAACATATCACGGAATCAGCAGAAACAGAATCAGGAGGGGAGAATTTCGGAAAATAATTTTTTTATCACATTTTTATTTTTGTGGCTGGTGGACTCACTGCTCGTTCCACAGCAATTTAATCTTTAATAAAAACTTTTTTTTTTGTGGGAATTCCAAAAACTGGAGGAGGGGTGGGCCCCTAAATTGTAGGATGCTTGAGGCCTCTAAATCCTGTGCACGGCTCTGCATACCTAATACATAATTTCTAAAATGTTAAATACCTTGTTAAATATACTTGGGATAAAAAGTTGCTCAGATCTACAAAAGCAAAAACCTAAATAAATTAAAATTTGTCTGAACTAATTTAACCTAGAGCAACCTCTATTTTATCTAATCCTAACCAAGCCAATATAACCTTGTTTACGCGTGTTTGAATTTCTTAGAATACTCTTTACTGACTTATTTTCTTTTGCTTATTAAAGGTGCAGAAGGAACTGTTTTAAAGTCATTTAAAAAAATTAACGACTAAGGGTATTCAACAAGTTTATTAGTGTTAACTAAAAACAAACAAGATTGCTATCTGCAGTCGTTGATGTGTACTGCTGAGGTTAAGGAAAGAAGAAGGCGTGGCGTTTTAATGAGTCTTCAAAGCCAAAACGAAGTCTTACATATTTTTATAAAATATCAACACCATCTGGAAAACACCAGGTATGCAAATTGGCTTTTATGAATACTCTGCGACAAGTGACTGATTAAAATTGCCGTGCAACCTTTTGAAGACGGGAAAACTCCCTCTTGATAAACGTTGACAAAGCGTTTCAGGTAATGCTAAACCTTAAATTATCATTAACATGGTGAATGAGCGGATATCTTTTTATCCAACTAAAATAACTATGGTAATACTGAAAAATATTTTCTCAATAAAAAACTTTCTGCATAAATGGCATGCACAAGATGTTTTAACAGAACTATCCTGTAATCAATGTAAATTACAAATTTTATTTGAAAATGTTTAAGCAGCAATTTTTGCTGAGGTTTGGATGCACATTTTTGCTGCACATGTGATGAGTTAGGTAAAATTTAAAGGTAAATTAAAATAGATTTAAAAGTAAATTAATAGTAAATATTTAAGCGACAATGTTGAGAGTGCTGCAGCAGTTGATAAATTGATTCATATTTGCAGAGCCAAAAGGTTTACAAGAAAAATTAAAGAAATCTTACAATAATATCAAGATAATGATAAAATATATGAAAAACTATATGAAATAAATTATATAAAAAAGTTACAACTTCCTTGCATACTAGTTTAAAAGACAAAAATCAAAAAATAACTTTTAAAATAAAAGTGTCAAACTTTTTTTATACCATAAAGAGGTTGGTGCAAAAAGAACCTAATAAAGTTTGCTCCTTTCTACTAAAATATAGAGTATTCCTGAAATGATAAAGAACAGTTTGAAACTTTAGTTCCAAACATTTTTTTGGAGAAATTCTGATCGTTCAGTGCTACCTCGTCCTACAGCCAAAGCTAACCCGGATGGAGTAGTCCTACAGCCAAAGCTAACCCGGATGGAGTAATCAACACTAAGAAGATTGCTGACATTCATAAACTTGAGCCATACATTTCAGATGATGAAGATATTAAACAGTTTTATATACAGATTCTGACTTGGCTTAGTGTAGATAAAGTTGGTTCAGAGTTTGATCCACTGTAGTTTAAACATTACCTTAATGAATTTTTTCAAGACCACAAAGTGAACAGTATTTTATCTGTAAAAAGTTTCTTTCGCTTTAGATTATACATAAATGGTTTTAAAACTAAAATTTTAATTTTTTTCTATTGATTTCTTTTTAATAATCCCTGATTTGTAGAACCTCTTGGATTTATTTCTACAAACCCCTACCTAAAAATAACAATTTATTGGTGTTTTATGTACAATAGACTCTATTTATTTTAGAAACAATCAGGGCCGTGCAAATAATTTGGGGGCCCCAACCCCCTTTAATAAAAGGGCTTATGCCTTTCAGAATCAATTTTTCAATTTCAATTTTTTTGATTGGTTTATAAGTATGATTAGGAAATCCAGCTTTTTTTTCTTACAAAATTATTTTTTTTTCTTTTGTTTTTTCAAACTATTTAATTACACAATGGAAGTTTTTCGTGTTATTTGACATTTTTCGTGTTAATTGACACTCAGTACAATAAGTAGCAAGATCACAGGTTCAATTTTGTACAAAAATGAACGTAAAAAAATCTTGAAGAGCAAATATACTATGTGAACACTCTCTGGAATCGCGCAAAAATACGCAGTGCAATACTGGAATCACGCAAAAATACGCAGTGCAATCAATAAATTTCTGAATATTTTTTCCAAACTTTTTTGTTAAACAACTCAAATGTAGCAAAAGGTTTCTTTTCAAAGTTTGCAGTTTTTTTTTTTATGTAAAGCAATTATTCAGCCAGTTTATCTTTTATTTTGGTAATTTTTTAAAAATCATTAGTGTTTTGTATAAAAAATTAAAATGTTTTGTTTTATTTGTCAAAATTGCTTTTTTTGACTTTTAGTGACCGTTAGGAAAGAAGAAATTTTTCCTAACGATTTTTTTTTTTTTAATTAATATGCAAAAACATATAGCGAAGCCATAAACATTAAATATCTAATCAAAACTTGTGACACTCTAAGTATATAGGCTATCCTTTTTCTAAGTATATAGGCTATCCTTTTTCTAGTATATAGGCTATCGATTTTTTAAGTATACTGGCTTTCCACTTTCTAACTATATAGGCTCTCTATCCACTTTCTAAGTATATAGCCTAAATAAGGCATCGGACTTTAATAAAATATTTTGTTTAAGATTTTATTCAGAAATATATAAAATATATTTCTAAATAAAATCTTATTTACGGCATTCAATATATATTTAAATATATCTTGAATGCCGTAATAGCATAAAGTACATATTATATTTAAAAATAACATTTTTTTTTTACCGGCAAAATACTTTACGCCTTCTTCCGTTCTCTCCTCAGCTATTTTCTTTACGGTTTCTCCCCGCCCAGGAAAAAAAAACCTAGAGAATTTTCTATAAACTTTTAAAACATATGGCCTATAGAAAACCTATAGAGTTTCTATAGAATGTTTATTAATTTCTATAAAAATTGCTATAAAACTTTTTTTTTCTATAAAAAAAAGGTAGAAAAAAAATTTTGATTGGAAAAATTTTGATTTTATAGAAGTTAACAGAAATTCTATAAAATTCTATAGAATTTCTATAGGCCATATGTTTCAAAAGTTTATATAAAAGTCTTTAGAACTTTTTTACCTGGGCGGCGCAAGAAGATGTCTGAAGACTTCGGGCCGGCCCTGTTTATGATTTTTTTGAGGTTTTGTAAACAACTCCCACTAAACGTATATTAAAGGTAAAAGAAGTGCTAAACTTTAAATAAGAAAATTCCTTACTTAATAAATAAAATTCTTATTATACTATTAACTTATCTATTTAAATAAATTTTATTTTTATTTTTGTCAAGTCTTCTAATTTTAACATTTATTTTAATTTTTATTAAATTATTATTAATTTTAACATCCCAAGTTTTTATATGAAAAAACACTTTTTTTAAAAAATTTAATAACTAAATTTCAAAACATGTCAAAAATAAACAATATTGTGTTAATTTTAAAAATATATTTATAATATAAACACCTTTACCACTTAAGGAACCGGGAAATCTCCGATTTCCTGGTTAAAGTAAAGCCGTAAAATGTCTCTTGCAAACTATACCAATACTATATAAAATTCACAATTTTGCAAATTCTTGAAATTTTCAGACATTTAAATTGTTACTTTGAATTATTTGTCACTTAATTTAAACACTCATTCACAACGTATACTATAATATATTTTTCTGGCTTCCACGGCTTTACTTTACGTCTCAAAATAAGTGAAAGGTTATATATGCAAGTGGTTGTTAAAAACAGGCAAAAGTGGTTGCTAAGAGTGCATTTACATACTTTAATAGTATATATATATATATATATATATATATATATATATATATATATATATATATATATATATATATATATATATATATATATATATATATATATATATATATATATTATATATATATATATATATATATATATATATATATATATATATATATATATATATATATATATACAAATAAAAATACTTATTTATACTTTATACATATTTCAACAAAAATGTAAAAAACTATTGCTACAAAATCATGTTTAAGACAAGTTTTTTGGTCAACAAGTTTTTTGGTCAACAAGTTTTTTGGTCAACATCAAAACTTTGAAATATTATATGCAATAATAATTTTAGACTGAAAGATTTAAACTTTGCACTTACATATTTTGATGACATACTGCAGTACTGTCAAACACCGGTGTGCATAAAAACATTAGATAAGCCATTCAATGTTTACTTCAAAATTTTTATATTGATTTTTAGTTATCAAGATACTTACATTAACTCTTCTTATTACACAGCACTGCGAGCATTTAACTGGAAGTTCACTCCTTCTTCCTATCCAATGTTGCTGATTGGGCTAAAGTAGCATTGAACCTCGGACCTCTTGATTTTGGTTTAGAAGTCTAACCACTGCGCCACAGCCGCACAAATTCAAATATAGCACACTTATCAAGTTTATTTTTCCAAAAAAACAACCAACCATCAATTAGACTCTCATTTTGCTGAAGCACCTAGTCTTCAGATGAACTAGGCCAACATTCTTTTATGCTAACGCGTCCTCGTGTACCCTAATAAAAATAAAAATGTTTATCAACCAAGCATTTGACAGAAATATACAAAAATTGAAACTAAAAACTTTTTAAATGAGGTTAATTTATCGTGGTTCTTAGCTCCTCGTAAGTATTTATAGAAAGTTAAAGCGAGAAAAAAATATTTTTGTTTTGTGGTTTATTTAGTATTATAATTATAAATATTATAATCAAAATACCAATTAATTATAAACAGCTATGTGGTAATTGTAAGATTTGAGTATATATAGTGTATAGATATTGAATTAACAGTAAAAGAAATTTACCTAACATTTACTTTATTTAAACTATATAAAACTAAAACTGCTTCCATCACTAAAAAAATGTCATTTTAAACAAGATTTATTGCTTGATAAAGGCTTTGCAATGAAACCTCTTTCGAATGACAAAGATAGGTAATTTTAAGTTGAAATTGTTCATAAAGCTATGTGTTAGAGAAAGATAAAACATATTTAATTGCCGAATTAATAGCAAACAAATGTTACATTTATCCAAAAGAAATCTAGCCAATGACTAATTAAAAAACTAATATTAATAATAACAACAAAATTATATTCCTAAGTTAAAAATTTATTCGTGATAGTTAAATTATGCAAAAAAAATTAAAGCAGAGATTAATTGTTTATATTATTTTAAAAATAGAGCTATTCCATTTGTAGTAAACGAAACATGAAAAAAAATGGATAATTAAAAAATTTAAATAAAAGAGAACAATCAATAATAACAGTTTGAAACCATTAATTAAATTATAAACAAAAAAAACAATCGATAAATTTTTTTTTTAATAATTATTTTAGTGGTTATGTTAAGACATTTAGAGGTTCTTGTTGTTATTGCCGTCGTTATTTGCTTGATTTATTTGCTGCTCAACATAAAGTTTAGCTTAGTTTGCTCTTAGATTGGTTTGCTCTTTTTTTGATGACATCACCTTTTAGTTTCTCAAGTATTTTAGGTTTATTAAGATACTTTTTTTTTAAACTTGACACGTGACACGTCTGCATTTTTGCTGTTGTTATTTTTGTTGCTTCTTATTGTGCTAATACTATGTGTGTATATAATATGTGGTTGCAAAAGTGCAGTCATTTGTGTGCAATCAATTGGACTGATTACATTTGTTTTTAACTTCCTTTTGAATATTTATTTTATTTATTGTAAATTTAGACTTACTGCTCCAGGTTATTTTACTTGACTTTGCACCTAATGCCATACGGTGTATGCTGGCGCTAATTATTGTTGAGGAAGATTCAGAGTGGCTGAAATGGTGTAGTTACTAGTAGTGTGGGGGTAGTGGTGCTTAGTGTGGGGGTAGTGGTTTTGATTGCTTTGATTTCGGTAGTTGAGATGATTGTGATTCAAACGAGTTATCAACTCTCAACTTTGATTAACTTAGTTTCAAAATTTTATTTTGAAATTTAGAGACTGTTAGTGTTGATGTAATAACTTCACTAGCCATTTTATATTCAATACTTATTTTTAAAAATTTATATTTTTGTTCTTTTTTAGATAAAGGCAGTCAATAATTTTTAATTAAGATAAAAAAATAACTCGCCTGCCTTTCCCAAGTTTATTTGAAATATTTTCTGAAATTTGTGTTGCAGCTTGATAATAAAATCTTTCTTTTTAATAAATTAGTTTCGCCTTGGCGAATTGATAGCTAATTTTAAACGTTAACATATTTGCAAGTACATATGGATCATGGTAACGTTATCACTCAAACATCTTACAGAAAGTGTGTTGACATTGAAGTTTTTTCAACAATGTCTGGCAGTTTGTGGAAAAAAAACAAAGAATAATTTTAATTTCATTTTACTAACTTTATGTATAACTTTTTGCATAACTAAATGTTTTAAAAGTTGTGAATTATTATTTTTCGTATATTACTACATCATTGTATATGTTTTGTGGCTTGGTGACTATGTTTTAATTGTTTTTATAAATTATGATTGTAAATTATAAATAACCACAAGTTAAAAAAAAAAATACTGTAGGATGAAACATGTTGGCAGCTCTAGTGCTATGTAAGTAGATGGCGCATTAAAGATCTTTGGACTTTCAGTAACTAATTGCAAACTACAATACACTGCCAATATTGGTGATGTAATATCAAGTAAAACTAATGTGTTGTTGCATCAGGCCCTTATCTAGATTTTAAAATTAAAAATCAGAATGTGTAGGTCATGTGCAAAGTTATATGCTGCACGGCCACTTAATTTGAAAATAAACTATTGCTGTAAACTAAAATCAGATGGCAAAAGTTTGACGAGCAAAGAAACTTTCCTATTATTGAAAAAACAATTAAAATGAAAAATTATAATAACCTTTGGGTTACCAAGGGTTTTAAAAAGTTATCTAAAACAAAACAGAAGTTGTATATAAAGTATCTTAAAAAGAAATCTTCTAAAAATGAAAAAATATACAAAGATTATAAATATTTGTTCGAAAAAATTCGTAAACGCTTAAAAAAAATTATTACTTTAGAATATTAGACAAATTTAATATAATACCTCTAGGCGCACTTAGCAAGTAATAAAAGAATTTACTGGCAATCAAAAAACATGCTCAGGTTCCCTCCTCCAAATAATTATAGTTGACAACAAATGTATTCATGAATAAAAAGCTATATCTAACGAATTTAATAAATACTTTATCGAAATCGGCCCTAAATTAGCTAATAAAGTTCCCTTTACCCTAGTCGCCTTTAATGATTTCTTAGTTCCAATGGATGATTGCAACTTTTCCAAAGAAATATACTCAAAATTATCTTTTGATGAATTCGAAATCGTCTTCAAAAAAAAAAAAGCTATCGGAGCTGATGGAATTAATGGTGAAATAATTTTCGAGTGCTTTGATCATCTCAAAAATATTCTTTATAAAGTTTATAAATCATCTGTCCACCGAGGAGTTTTTCCTGATCGACTAAAAATTGCAAAAGTTATTCCAATTTTGTAAGAAGGAGACTGTTGCAATATCAGTAACTATCACTCTATATCTATTCCTTTTACTTTTTCAAAAATCTTAGAGCGTATTATGTACAATAGAGTATACCAGTGGCGTACCTACGGAGGAAAAGGGGCGGGGGCTCGGTGTCATCCACTTTTGGGTGACACGCAATTTATTAATATCTTATATTTTATTTTGGTTTATTATTAAACAGTCTTACATAAAAAAATAAGTGGGTATTTATTTACACGACCTGCGAAATGCTGAATGCTGAAAGATATAGTTATCATTATTTAGAAAATATAATCGCTTAGCTTTCTTATTATTGTCGAAAACAAGGTTTAAAATTATATGTGTCAACGTTTCTAAATACTGCTTTAATAATTTCGTATATAAAAATAATTACATATAATATATGGGTGACACCCTATTTGCCGCCCCGGGTGACACCATAACTAGGAACGCCACTTGAGTATACAATTATCTTGTCTCCAATAATCTTTTATATAATAATCAATTTGCTTTCAAAAAAATAATTCCACCGAACATGCAATCATCCAATTTGTAAGAGAAATTTCAAATTCCTTTCAAAGACCCCAGTTTACATTAGGTGTTTTTATTGACTTGTCGAAGGCTTTTGATATTGTTGACCATGAAATCCTGCTTGAAAAACTAAAATACTATGGATTAAACTATATAACTATAAAATGGCTTCAAAGTTACTTATCAAGCCGCAAACAATTTGTTTTTATTAATAACTATTACCAAAGCCATCTACTAAATATTTCCTGTGGTGTTCCCCAAGGTTCTATCTTGGCCACTTTTGTTCTTAATCTATATAAATGACTTAATGACTTAAATAAAGCTTTAAACTTAATGAGTATCATGTTTGCCGACGACATCAACTTATTCCTGACTAATAATGACATATCCAAACTCTTTTCTACAATGAATGATGAACTTAAAAGCATATCTACTTGATTTAAATGTAACAAGTTAATTTTTAACATTAATAAAACCAAATGGATTTTTTTCCATTCACTCTCTAAAAAACGCTATTTACCCCAAAGTTTGCCTAAAGTATTTATTAATAAAGTTGAAACAAAATGAGATTTTGTTACTAAATTTTCAGGAGTGGTTCTCGACGAGAACATTACATGGAAACTGCATATAGACTATATTTGCTTGAAAATATCTAAAAGTAACGGAGTCTTATATAAACCCAGATCATATTTAAACAAAAAAAGCCTTAACCCAACTTTATTACTCATTTATTCACACCTATATTAATTATGTCAACATAGCGTGGGAAAGCACCGAAAAAAGTAAGCTAAAATGCATTTTTCGCCGTCAGAAGCATGCGATCCGATTGATTAATTTTGCGAATCGTTTTACTCATTCCAAACCATTATTTATGGAGATGAAAATACTTAATATTTACAAGCTCAATGTTTATAACATTTATGCTTTATTTACATGTGGAAAAACGATTTGATTTTACTTATCTTTAAAGACCTTTTTTATTTAAACCCAATTAATAAATATTTACTTAGAAATAAAAATTTTGTGTATGAACCAATTTGCAGAACAAAATTTTAACAAATTTTGCATTACATTTGGAGAACCTTATCTTTCGAAAAAAAATTGTTATACCTAACTTTGATATATCCAATACATTTCCGATCTTAAAAATTAAACTAAAAATCTTATTTTATCTATTGATGATATATTTAAATACTTTTTATAACAACCGCATGTTTGCCTTTTTTAATTGTAAGACTATTGTATTTTCTCTTGCCTATTAAAAAGAGATGTATTACTGTATTTACTTAGTAGATATTTATATATCTACGTTTTTATAAGTTCTGACGATAAGATCAGACTTTTTATTATATATAACATTAGTGGTTTGATTGAAATTTCCGATTTATATCACGATTGATTTTAATTTTTTAGTCTTATTAATGTATTAAAACCTTTTACAGGTTTTTTTTTAAAAAACCTGTAAAAGGTTCTGATGATAAGATCATTATGATCTTCTTTCAGAAGCCTTTTTTGCTTGTCTTTGTAAACAACGACAAAAATGTAAATAAATAAAATTTAAAAAAATAAACCCGGGACTAACAAAGCATTATTAGGCTACAGATGTATATTTGTTTGGAGATACTCTAAAACACAGATAACCTATATAAAATGAATAAAGCAATTTGTCCTACAATTTTTTATTGTTTTGAAAATAATGACTAGGAACATTCGAAAGAAGCCGAACCTTGGTGCAAATATAACTCTTAACCAAAGAGCTAGGTCCTAGACCTACACAGGCAAAAGCACTTTTAAGTCTAACATACCTAGAAAACATTCTACAACAGAATTTCAGTGGATCTATATAGGCATTTTTAGCGGGTCACTGTAGTTTTGCTTATCGGTGGACCATTAGTGGCAGCCAAAAGTGGCTAGCTGATATCTAGCCAATACCCAGC